CGCAGGACGGCGCGCAGCAGCGTTGGCCAAGCCGGCCAAGCCAAATCTATGGTATTCGCGCGGTTCGCTGACGGTTACATTGCCGCGCGCAGGCGGCATCTAGGGATGGCCCGTGAGCAGAAGGTACACATACAGTCAAGAGGTGTGAGGTCACGAGTAAATGCTGTACTCTAACTCAACACTCGATTTAGCGGTGCTACTTGTCACTCTACTTGTGACTTGTAACCACATCTTGCTTGGATTTGTGATTGCAATTCGTCATTCGTCACCTCCCCGCACCTGTGCGCACCCATCGGCGGCCCCCTCTCGGTGTTCGCCCTCACGATTGCCGAACAGATCAGATCAGGAGATACCTCGATATTTACGAACGGAAGACTGGGAGCTACGTGTGACACGCCTCTTTCTCCCCTGCTGCCGCCCCACGCTCCTACTCGAAAGCGGCATATTCAAGATGGAGGCAATCAAGCTGCAGCGCAAGTATCCCCAATTGTACGTTAGATGGCACGCGGATGGCGGGCAGTCCTGACCTGTTTTGTAGCGCTGACCGCTTTGCATGTATTCTTCCACATTGATGTTCCGTGCGCCGCGCAGCTCCCAGGAGGAGATGATGGGTCTCATCTCTCGATTCAGGGCTATCGACGTCGAGGAGAAGGGTAGCGTTCCAAAGCAGGACGTGATGAAAGCCATCGCAGATGCTGGAGAGGCGAGCTATGATCAAGCGAGAGAAACTCTGAAAGAGGTGGACGTCGATTCGAGCGGTAGGGTCGAGCTGGACGACTACGTCGATGTGAGTGCTGAGCCTTTGCACGCACGGCATTTTCAGCTCCTCTCTTGCCTTCGCCGTGTCTACTGACCCTGCTACTGTGCTTCTCCGACAGCTACTTGCCAAGCTGCGTGCTGGAAGGAATGTGGGTGCAGGTGCAGTCACTAAGGGCAAGGTGTTTGTCAAGGGATCCAATGCGAGCGTCCAGCACACCATCAACGAAGACGAGCGAACGGAGTTCACGCGGCACATCAACTCGGTGAGTGTTGCGTAGCCCAGGCTGATAAGGCGGAAGAACAGGGGAGGCGAGCTTGCTGCGAAGACAGAGCTTGAGCTTGAGCTTGCAGCGAATTGCGTATGCGCTTGGTGCCAGGAGTTTGCGAGAGCGACGCTGACTCGTTTGAGTATGCCTGCCCTAGTCACTCGCCGGGGATGCTGTCGTAGGCAATCGTCTTCCTATCCCCACAGACACCTTTCAACTCTTCGATGATGCCAAAGGTGAGCTTGCTCCGCCTCCGGAGCTTGGGCTTTTCCCATACCAATTCATCTCCTTCGACCTCCTGCCCCTTCACAGACGGTCTGATACTGTGCAAGCTCATCAATGATGCCGTGCCCGAGACGATCGACGAGCGTGTTTTGAACACTGGCAAGGCTGGCAAGGGACCCAACGCTTTCCAAATGACCGAGAACAACAACATCGTCATCACTTCCGCCAAAGCTATCGGCTGCAGCGTGGTCAATGTTGGGGCTCAGGATATCATTGACGGGAGAGAGCATCTGATCATGGGTCTGATCTGGCAAATCATCCGTAGAGGTCTACTGAGTAAGATCGACTTGAAGAATCACCCGGAACTGTACCGTTTGCTTGATGACGGCGAGAGTCTGGAGGACTTTCTCCGGTTGCCGCCAGATCAGATCCTGCTGCGCTGGTTCAACTACCACCTCAAAGCAGCGAATTGGCACAGAAGGCGAGTCGAACTTGTAGCCCAGACTTCATAGCCCCGACACTAATCTGCAATCCCGCGTTGCGAGCAGAGTCGGCAATTTTAGCAAGGACGTCAGCGATGGAGAGAACTACACTGTCCTGTTGTCTCAACTCAAGCCGGATGTCTGTGATCGCGCCCCATTGCAGCAGAAGGACCTATTGCAAAGGGCTGAGCTTGTGAGTACATAGTCAAGCTCATACATTCTGCATCGATCCTAACAATTTAGCGATCCCGCAAATACAGGTACTGCAACGCGCCGATGCTATTGGCTGCCGGAAGTATCTGACCCCGGGCTCCATGGTAGCGGGCAATCCGAAGCTCAATCTAGCGTTCGTGGCGGTGCTCTTCAATACTTGGCCATGCTTGGAAGCTTTGGAGGCCCCTCCGCCTATCGAGATTGAAGACTTTGACGCCGAAGGCGAACGCGAAGCTCGTGTCTTCACCTTGTGGCTCAACAGTCTGGACGTTGACCCGGGCGTCTACAATCTGTTCGAAGATTTGCGCGATGGCAGCGTCATTCTACAAGCGTTCGATAAAGTGTTGCCCGGGAGCGTGCAGTGGAGGCGCGTATCAAAGCCCAAGGAGGGCCAGGAGCTTAGCCGCTTCAAAGCTGTCGAGAACACAAATTACGCGGTCGACCTCGCCAAAGCAAGCAACATGCACATCGTCGGCATCCAGGGAGCTGACATTGTCGATGGAACGAAGACGTTGACGCTGGGACTCGTCTGGCAGCTCATGCGCCTCAACATCACCAAGACGCTCTCGAGCTTGGGCAAGGGAGGACGAGGGGTGAGCGACTCTGACATGGTTGCCTGGGCAAACAACGTCGTCAAGTCCTCTGGCAAGTCGAGCACCATCAGGAGTTTCAAAGACCCTAGTCTCAGGTCGGCACACTTCCTTCTCGACCTGCTCGACGGCTTAAGGAAAGGCATCGTCGATTCGTCTCTCGTGACACCTGGTAGGACGGAAGAAGAGCAGAGACTCAACGCCAAGCTCGCCATCTCGATTGCACGCAAGCTAGGTGCGCTCATCTTCCTCGTCCCAGAAGATATTGTGGAGCTTCGTCAGCGCCTGATTCTCACGTTTGTCGGCAGCCTGAGTGAGTGATCATGAACCTGCTGCGCAATGACGCGTAATCCATCAGCTCTGACAATGCTCCTACATCGCAAACCGATTGCAGTGGCCATCCAGGCTTGAGCCTTGCTGGATGCGGCCGATCTGCAAGCTGCGGTGAAGGATCGCGAAAAAGACAGGTTGGGCTCAGTAGACACTTTTGTGTCTCATCAGCTTGCGCAACCGCTCGCGGCGGTGTCAGTCATGAAGCATGTGAGCTTCCCAAACCGCTCTGGAATCCCTCGGCACGAGTCGATGAATCATTATATGAACTTCATCGATCGGCTCATCTCGGATGTTTGGCTTTGTGCTTCGTGAGCGCAACGCGGCTCTAGAGGACTCGTTGGTGCGCAAGTGACCATCTGGTAGAGAATTTTGCTTCTAGCTATTCACGATGATTTTGTGATTCAGTTGTGAATGCTGCGTGCTATGCATTGCGGCTGGCGCGCTCTACGGTCACAACTGTCTCGTGAGCGTGAATGCCAGACAGATACCGCGTTGCGCGCGCGCGATGTGTGTTTTAGGTTAGCCATCATAGAGTAAGAAGGAGCGTAGTAGGAGCGTTCTCGCGTGCTTGGCGCGCGGCCTCGATTCTTGAGTATAGTCTTGATCGTTTTGCCCTGCGGTGTGCTAGTCTATATACGGAGTGATTTCTTATTGAAGGTTTGATTTGAACCCACCAATCCACGCGTGTACACTCAAGACTGTCTTTGGGCGGGCCGCGAGTCTAATTTGGTTGAGCGATGAGTTGCATGCATGCACTTACACTGCATGTATATGCGTCCATGCGTCGTGTGGATCGCCTCGCCTACTTGTCACGCACCAACAAGACGAGAAGAGGAAACAAGACTCAGACTCGCCTTGAAGCTTGCTTGCCCGCCGAACTAATCAATTCTGGTGTAGCATACAGTTTCAGTCAAATGAGTCGTGATGTTTGCCGCCAACTACCTCGACACCCTTTGCGATCGACGGTGACCTTCTCTTGATCTCGACCAAATCCTCAGCTTCTCTCACATGCACACGACGATCGCACTCCGTGACAGCTCCTTCTCGCCCAGCAATTCTTCCGAGTAGGTATTCACGCGAGCACGGCGTTGGAAGTCGGCCAATCACCGGCGCCTCATTCTTCTCGCCTATCACCTTGCTTGCAGAGCGCGCTGAACGGATCGACGAAGTGGCGAGCACGGCTTTTCACTGGGCGAGATGGCGCCGCCGAAGGCATCCCACGCCGAAGAGCAGGACGATGTTCCCACCTCGCACCTTCAGCGACCAGATCCAGAATCGATTTTGGCTGATGATGCCGATCCTGACACCTTGCTCGGCAAAGAGAGCGACTCTGAAGCTGGCGGCAGTCGCAGAACGTCGACAGCAGAGCCGGACTTTGCGGATGCTCTGGACACCAGCTCTGCCGAAGCGCCCGCGACGCCCGAGGTGAATGGGGGGAGCAAAGCTGTCAATGGCAGTGGCCTGGGCGCTCCCGCGGATATCCGAACGCCAGTCACTGCCACGCCGACCCAATCCGAATTCAAGGCATTGGCACTTGGAAACAAAGCCGCCGGCGAAAGCTCGAAGGAGAGCAAGACCTCTGCTGGGTCTGCGGAGCTGGAGACGCAAGTATCGGATCTGACGAGCCAGGTGATGAGCTTGAACAGCAAGCTAGTCGCTTCCTACGAGCAGCGATCCGATCTTGAAGACGACTTGTCCGACGCGCATAATCGTATCATGGCACACACTACGCGGATCGCAGAGCTGGAAAAGGAGAGGCAGGAGCATTTAGCAGCGCTGAATACTGGGCTCTTGGTGGAAAAGGCGCACGTAAGCACAGAGATGCAAAAGATGATGGAGCGACTACTGGAAGAGACAGCACAGAGAGGCAAAGCAGTGGATGCAAAGGAGAAGATGCAGGGCGAGCTAGACGATCTTAGCGCAACGCTGTTCGAAGAGGCGAATCGAATGGTCGCCGCTGAGCGTCTACTCCGAGCTCGTGCAGAGGAGAAGAGCAGGAATATGGAAGAGCGCTTAAAGGATACGGAAGGGATCATGCTCGAACAGCAAAAGATTCTAGGCGATCTGCAGAGGCAGGTGGAGAGCGCGCGAAGCGAAGGCGCGGATGGTCAGAGAGGCTCGCTGCCAAGCGAATCTCGCTCTGCGGATGCAAACGGGTGGAGCGCGCTTGCAAGTGAAGGGCGCTTGTTAAGAGCCGGCGATCTGGTGCGCACTCCTTCCCAGCGGTCTGTCGAAGACGGTGCTGTGCGAAGAGGATCTGTGGCGCCCCTTCTGCACCAGCACTGGCTCCAGATCGACATTGTGCCATTCAGGGAGCTTTGCGCGTTCCTACAGCAGCTTCGCAAGCTTCGGATTCAGCTCGCACCTTTCTACACGTATCCACTGCCAGGAGAGGGTCCAAAGACTGTATCTGCAACCAGCGGGCAAGGGTCAGGCAGCGAAGCAAGGCCTGTATCGCCTGGCCCCCTCGGAATGCCCCTCGGGATGCCGGTAATGCCCGTGAGCTTTTCGGGGCTGGGAAGCTCTGGCTTCGCAGGAGGCTACTCTGGCCCCACTACGAACTCTCCATTTGTCGCTGCTGGAGTCGGCAGGCATAAGGATTATCCATCTCTGCCTGCCAATGCCGAGAGTCTCGTTCACATTCCCAACCAGCTGTCCCTGCCATTCATAAAACGCTCCCAGGAAGAAGATAGCGATCCTTGCCTGCGATTCGACTTCGCGCCTGGCCTGAATTGGCTCTCGAGAAGGCAGGCAAATGCGGCAGTGCTGGAGGGGACATTGGTCGTGGAGCCTGTCTTCCCTGGCGGCGTTTGTCCGGATGAAGAGGCGATGCGCAGAGCCAACGCGCACCTTCCACCCGCGGCCTGCACCATGTGCGGCGCCGGCGTGGTGAACGTGCCTCTTCCGGGCGGTGGCCATACGGAGACAACAACCGCTGCTGGTACCGCAGCTAATTGGATCAGTGCTGCTGGCACTGCCGCGCAGTCATTTGGCGCAAGGAGCAGTGCGGAAAGCCCGAGTGCTACCAGCACGCCTACTGCTCCCCGAGCCAAATCTGGCATCTTCAGCACGCTCCGCTCCATGGGAAGTAGCCCTCGGCCCAGCGTCTCTGCTAACAATAGCACCTCTGGACACGCTCACACGTCGAGCGACACAAGCAGCAACCTTCACGGAGACGCTGAGCAGACACCAGACTCGCCCAATCCTGCTGTGGTAAGTGGCCCATGTTGGCTGAGAGGTCCTTTACTTCGGACGCTGACTCGTGCTGATCTCTTCGCTATTCAAGCAGATGGCTGGTCCCGCTGTACCTTTGCCAGTGCCGACGCACATCTTTCGTGTGAACGAAACGTCTACGACAAGGTACCTGATATGCCCTAATCATTGTCTCGCCCGGCTTCGAGCGGCATGCGCTTTCTGGGGCTACCTGAGATCTCTTGAGCGTGCGGTCGTGCTTGAAGGCAAGCTGGCATGGGACGACGCCCCTTCAGCGATGGGGCCCGCCGCAGCGATCGCGCGAGCCGGCTCTCCTGCACCACCTATCCGCCCGGACTCAGTCAAACCATCACCACTATCGACAGAAGTTGCGTCCGCCTCTGAACCACACGCCGCTCCTACAATGGGCAAGGCTGCGGTCATTGAGAAATTAGAACAAGCAGCGGATGCCGAAAAAGGTGCAGCAGAGGCCCAGACCGAAGCTGATGCTTTGTTGGCACCTTCTCCGGAGGCAGCCGAGGGCTCGATACAGGATGCAAAAGCGCAAAGCGACTCCACGGACGCACACGATGATGATGGAGAGGACATGGATGCGGAAGCAGAGTCTTCATTTGCGGATGCTCAAAGTGAAGCTTCGAGCCCGCAGGTGGAGAGGACTGAGCTCGCCAAAGACGAGCTCGAAGCGATCGACGCTCCGCAAGCAGCCTCTACGAAGCTAATTGCTCCGCAGCAGGACGAGGCTCCCCCTACGCCCAAAGCGACCTCGACTTCATCTGCTACCCTTGACGAGGCCGCTGATAAAATGCTTACGACGAGCACCTCTTCGTCAGCTGCAGCTTCTCCACGAATTGCTCCCCCTCCCTTGCCCAGACGAGCGACGAACCGGCGTCCGGTGCCAGTACCGCCGGCCACGTCTCGCAGGCCTTCGACGGAATCCCAAGTGGCCACGAAGGGCGACGTTTTTCTCGCTGCTCCACCTGCGCTGCCCAGACGCAAATCCTCGGTGGCGACCCCGCCCTCGCCGGCTCAACCTATCAGATCCGTCCTGCCAGCAAGCGGCGGGGATGGATTGGCGTGGGAGGAAAGAGTGTGGCAAGAAGTGCAAAGACTGAAGGCAGAGATGGCAAGAGCCAGGTGGGGCTTGGCTGGATGAGTCGACTCGTTCTGAGCAGCAAGATTCAGCAATGCTACACTTTGCAACACTGTGAACTCCCGACGCAATGCATCCGGGTCGGCGGGCGACCTTGACTAGCGTGCGTGTATCATGCGACCTGAAGAGAGGGATAGAGGTGAGGTGTATACAACCGTACCGCGTGCGGTCGCTTTCGAGCGCTACAAAGACATGCAGAATGAAAGTATTCCCGTAGGCTTTCCGTGGAAATCCTTGTGCTAAAAATGCATGGGCTACCTGGGTACGGTGACGAGCATGCATTCGCGTTTGCCTGTCGCGAATTGTCCGGTATGCCCGTCGCTTCATGTGACAACGACTGCAATTCTCATCCGTCATATCAGAACTTGACAGTATCTTTAGGCAGAGCGAGTGGTGCAAGGGCATGCGGTGACGAGTGCCAAGTATCACGGAGAGCGTCAGGGCTGGAGCGACGCACCGGCTCCGCACGAGAGCAGCGCGCCTGTCGTCTGGCTCGACTTTCTCTGCCGCCTTCGAGACTTTTCTGGGGCAATGCGCTGTGCTACGTATTACATTTAGCGGTGCCCAGGGTTCGAAGCGCCGGAGAGCCAGACGAGTGGTGCCGTGATGAGCAACTAAACTCAGACATACGCGAGGTTGCGTGCGTGCGTGCGTTCCAAGTCGCTTTTGTGATGATGTGCGAGTCATGCTTGCTCCATGTACCGTCTCATCGAACGACTACACTGTATTCGAGGCGCAGGTGGAGGTCAGACTGCGACATGTTTAGATGCTGGATTGAGTGCTGGGATGGATGCATGCATTTGCCCATCCTCGCATCTCGCATCTCGCACCTCACACCTCACATCTCCGCTCAAAATAATAAGCGCGCGCGCGCGCTCTCATCGGCTGTCTGTGCCCGCGGGGTTCTACTGTAGGACTCGCGTGCGTCTTTTCCGAAGCCTTGCGACAGACGTCCAGCAGCGCCTCTGCCCCAAATGCGATCGCGACTGTTGCATGTCAAGTCGCAGGGCATGTACTGTATCACTCGGCTCATTCGGCACAAGCGGACTGTGGGGTTCGAAAGTGGCTTTGCCGGCAAGCTGAGATACGCTCCCCGCACCAAGCAGACGTCCCGTGTAGTTCGCTTCGCTCGCTGCACAGGTCTCGGCAAATCAGACAAGCCACGCACTTGCTTGCCCCTCTTCCTTCCTTCCTTCACAATCGCCCTCGCTGCGTCTCTCCAGCGTTGGCTTGGCCGCCGTACCTTGCGTTCGAACTGTTGGTACTCTCTCAGCATGCAATCAGCGTGTATTGTCAGGGCAGCTACATACACGTATAGTCAGAATGAATAGGCAGGAGGACGTGGACGAACACAAGCAAGCTTAGCCCTTGCTGCATGCGGGACCAAGTCTTTGCTTGACTGCTGCTGCTTCTCGATATCTGCTGCGTCTCGATCTCTCTCCATCCAACGCTGGTCGGTCAAAGTGACACGTACGAGTCTGCGCTTGGCTTGGCATGGCATGGGCACAGCTGAGGGCAGCTCTCAAGCCCCATCGAGGAGGGCGCGTGTGAGCCTAGAGTGCGTTCAAAATAAGCGTAGTGCGAGTGCGAGTGCGAGTGCGAGTGCGCGCGGCACGGTGAGAGGGACACGAAAGATGTGGGGTCGGATGAGCTTGCGCAGCGGACAATCCGAGCCCCAGCCGTAGTCAAGAGTAAGGGCGAGGCGAGGTCATGGAAAGCCACAAGCAGCAGCAGCAGGCAGCAGCATGCGTGGAGTGGAGCCCACGCTCGGGCCATCACTCGATCGCCATCATATCCGCGCTGCAAGTAGTCCAAGTCAATTGTGATTGGACATGCTGCAGCTAGCTCCACTTTTACGCGGTGCGGTGCGGTGCGGTGCGGTGC